AGGTACAGGACCTCAATTTACAAAATGTTTTACAGTAATTTTAAACAAAGAAGAAGATGAAGTAGGAGAGTTAAAAAAATTTCCTTTTTCTTTTTGAAATAACAATAAAAAAAAAACTTTAAATGTCGCTCATCCCTCATTGTTTTTCTTTCTTTTACTCTCATCTTTTCTACGCAAAACACAATTGTTTATATTACGTTTTCCTTTTTCTTTATTATTCTCAAAAGATATAAAAGAGGAGGTAATCATACAGCCATAAAACAAAAAGCATTTTAAATGCACATAATCAGAAAAATTGTATGAAATAAAAAAAAAGAGAGAGAGAGAAAAAAAAATTTTTTTGTATTTTTATTGTACACTTGAATATGCATGAAGTGTAATGTGTATATGTGTATATATATAGATGCGTATATAAGTATGTGATGCATGTTGATTTTTATATCATCTTATATTTTATTAAAATTCAATTTATCCTTAGGGAAATTTCAATTTTTAATAATTTTTTTTTTCTGTTTTGTTCTTTACATTATTCGTTATAAAATTATTTGAGCTTTCGTTTTCTTTTCTATTGTTTTCTCTTTGTTTTTGTGAAGTATTCGGATTCTTTTTTCCCGCTGGACATGCCTAAAAGTGGACCTTTTATATATAAAATATAATATGATAATTGTCAGGTAAATTTTTTCATGCCTTGTTACGTGAAAATTTTTGAAATGATTCTATTTTTATAAGGGTACCTGAATTCCTTTCCTTTTTAATTTTTCTTTCTTCAAAAAATCGTTTTTGTAGTCGTTGTTATGTAAAATAATAAAAAAAATTTTTATTTTTATTGAAATAATAAAAACGCTATAATTTTGAAAAATTGCATACTTTTAGGGATAATAAAATAGTTGCGTTGAAAGCATGAAATTAATATTAAATTTTATTGCACATTGATAATTCTTTATATTATAAAAAATTTTAATACACCTTTTTGTGCCCTTAACATATTTTCCTACTTTCAGACGCAAGTAAATTCAAAAACCTGATTTCAAATGTGCAACATCAGCAGTTTCGATTCGAAACGCAGTTTAACTCAATTTATTGTTCGAAAAGCTCATCAACTGTTCGAGCTTACTAATAGTTATCAAGATCAACTATAACAGTAAATACAATATATTGATCGTACTTTATTCTTTATACTTTTCCCATCATAATTAAGAGAACAAAAGAGTCCTTTGTTCATATCCTTTTTTCTTTTATTTTATTTTGAATTGTTATTTTTTTTTCTTTGTTTTATGTACGAACAATTGTTTTTTCATCAGAAAATTATGGTTAATAAGTGTGGGAATAAAAATTGGTAGAAAATCGTAAAAGAAAAGCAAAAGAAATAAAAAAAAAAAAAACAGAGAAAAAAAATAATAATTTTAAAATTTTTATTCAAAAGTAAGCAAAAAAAAAATTGCTCTAAGGATATTCACAAAAAAAAAGGAAAACTATATATGAAATCGCATATAAGGGAAAAAAAATTAAACTATTGTAAAAATAATATTTATGGGCAGTAAAAAACTCATTCATTATAAAATAATTTTCCAGCGTTATTATTCATGGCACTCGTATTTTATTTAAGAAAGGAAATCGCATTTTTTCTTCCACTTTCTTCTCTTTTTTTTTGTCGTTGAGTTTCTTTTTGGCTGCTGCTCGAACCATAAGAGTAAAATAAATTTCTTTTTATTTTAATTTTTATTTTTTTTGGGGCTATTACAATATATTAAGTCTAACAAGGAAATAAATTACTTGTTCTCTCATTCTTATTTCTTAATTTTCTTATGTAGCGTAACATGGCTCAGATGATCTCCTGGTAATATGCAAGCATATGTGTGTACTGTGTGTATATGATAAACTGTTATATTATAATATGCAACATATGAACACTATTCTTTAAAATTTTGTTATAAATTTTACATTTACAATGGAAAATATTTGAAAACTGTTTCGGAATATTTAAAAATTGGAGAAAAAAAACTTTGCATACTTGGTGACCTATTTTTGTTTTTTTTATTAAAAAACAATTTTAACATTATTAAAATTTAAAATTTATATTTATTGTTCATTTTGTAAAGCAAGAAAAAAAAAATTAAATTGGAATTTACATTTTATATGTAAGTTGGCATAAAATTAAAATATTTTTATTGCTTTTATTCCTAAGAATATTAAAATTTTTACATTTAATTGGAAATTTCCAAGAGAAATACAAGAAAAATGTAGTTTATTTTTTTTGGCAATAAAATTTTTTAAGAGAACAAAACATGTACGAATACAATCAAAGATTACATAAAATAATAAAATTTAATATTTTGAGCATTATTCGTTTCTCGCAAGAGTTCTTGCCCTTTACATGGTTGGTTGACGTTACAGGTGCAGCATGTCCACCGAATCTCAACAAATGTGCCGCTACCACTACCTCATAATTAGCAGGTTGTCATTCATATTTATTTATAAAAAATTTAGATACTCGTAATATTGTTTACTCCATTAAATTTTGTACAATGTTAAAATTTACAGAAAAATTACAGAATCATTAACATTTCTGTAATTAGATAAGATTTATTAGTTCTTGCTAGTAATTGATTAATAATGTATTCCCTATTTTATGTATATCAGTTATAAAAATATTGAATTTATTTAATATTAAAAAATATAAAAGAATATTTAAGCACACAAGTATGTTTAGCCTCATTAGACAATCTTAAAATATTGTAATTATTTTATAAATTAATTTTGTTCTGATTTTTATTCTGATCCATTGTAACTCTTACAGATTTGGATTACTTTGGTTATCGGTAACTAAGCAAAAATGCGAAATTAATAGAAATTAACAATATAACGTGTAGTTGTTTATCTTTATTATTAAATTTTTATTAGAATAATTAATAGAACTGTAACCAAAGTAACGAGTCGAGGCAGAAAAATTAAAAAGTTTTCCTCCTCGAACTGGACTCGAAACAATGATATAACCCTTTCTAGGCGAACACTTTACCTACTGACCTGCAGAGATAATACATATGACGAAATCACCTGGAGAACAATTTGTGGGTAATTTCTTAATATCTCTCTTTATTTATTCTAATGCGAAAATAAGTTTTTTTTTTAAAGAATAGACACAATAAATTGATCTTCCTTAATTCTACACACTATTCAGTTGTCATCATCATTCTTCAAATTATTGAGAACCTCTGTCTCTCCCTGTCTCTCAACTAAAGATCACTCATACAAATGTCAAGTTGTTTTTTTTTTTTAAAATATATTTTGTTTGTTACAGAAGTATGGCTGTATTCTTCTGATAGGCTTTTATTATGTTATTCTTCTTTAATGTTATTATTATTGTCTTGGTTCTCTCGTTTCTTATTGCTTATTTTTTGAAATCAATGACTTTTGATTGAAATAATATTTTTGTTTTTTATACAAGTGTGTAGGTACCAAGCATATTACCCAATATTACTTAAGAATAAAAATGTTTACGTGTGTGTGTGTATCTCTCTCTCATTCATATAAAATATTAATGAAATTTACAAAAAGAAAATGAAAATTTTAAATTGAAATCCTTTTGATTGTCTTTTACTCTTTTTTATGTTATTTTCATTTTTTTTTCTTGTTTTTTTCTAAGATGCTACTAGAATATTGATTTCTCTTGTTATGGTTTTGTTACATGAATGGATTCTGTAAGAAACCCTTAGATTAGATGATGAAAAATTTTCTATTTTCTTATTAAGAAAAAAAAGAAAACAAAAAAAAAATTAAAATAAAGAAAACTTTTTTTTTTCAAACCTAAAGATTTTTTTTTTCTTTTTTTTTTTTTTTTCAAATTAAATTTTTTTTTTCTCCTTTACTTTCTATTGACAGTGTGCTTGAGTGTGTGTGTGTGTATTGAAAAATTTTTTTGTTATTTTTACGTTTTAAAAATTCTATTAATAATTTGAGACGTGAGATGAAATTTAATGAATTCGAACTATAAAGAAAAAAATCTAAATAAGATAAGAAAAGAAAATTTCAATAAAATATAAGACAAGAGTTTATTTGGTGTGATTACTCGAATGGATTTTGAGGCTCAATAAGTAAACCATATTAAAGTGATTTCTGTAATAACCTTGATGATTTCAAAATTTTGTAAATAAATTTTTATATATTTTATTTTCGTTATTTTGTTCGAAAAATTTTTAAAATCATTTCACATTTTTGTATAGGCTTGAAATTATGTTTTTGTTTTTCTATATAATCTACATGGAATATAAATGAGTGCAGAATGGTTTTCTAAATTGCTTATTTAAATTCATTTTAGAAGAAAATGAATTCAATTACCTTATGAGTTTATTTAATGAATTTGTTGTCATTTACAGAATAATGTTTACGTCTTAAAATTAATCTACAAAAGGGGATGTTGAGACACGTATTCGTTGGGCACGCACCTAAGCATTCATCCATAACGGGTGCATATTCTTTGGGTATGCACCCATTATTGCATACGTCATTTATTCTGCTGCAATGAAACTTCGAATATTGTTAAATTTTTTCCCGTTAATGATTTGTAAAACGAAAATTGTTTCCAAAAATCTGCTAGTTTGGCTACATACATTCATATCGGTTAGAAACATCCGCACACATGCATAAACCACAAATTTGTAACAGAAAATAATACTATCGTCTTTTGCATCATTACATCGTTTGCTGCAGTGCATACCGTTTATAATACTGTTTGCTGCATTGCATTATTTAAAGTTACGTTACTAGTTCGAATTTAATATTTGAAATAGAATGAAATAGTTTGGAGCATGCAGCACATCTTCTAAAATAATTATTAGGCATTTAAAGTAATTTTATTCTAGAAAACTTATTTTAACTCACTTCGTGCCATGAAACTGCCATCCTCATTGATCTTCAACTAGAAAAATTATCTACATATTTTTACCTACATAATTACAACTTTGTGTATTAAAATTAAAAATCATATTATTTTTTTTTTTCAGGTCAATATAAGCAACACTTGGACGTTACCACATGATGGTTTCACAGTTTTTTATCGTTTCTTTAGAGATCAAATTTCATGGTTTGAAGCAGATGCTGTTTGTCAATTTCATCATGCCAATTTAGTAACAGGTAAATTTTCATATTTTATTCGAAAATATAATTTATAGGTTTAGTTTAGAATTAAATAGACTTACTTGCGGTTATGAGACCCCACATTGCAGCTTTGTCCATCAAACATAATTTCTAAATATTTTAAGCATATTTTAAAATTGTGAACTTTTAATCAGATTTAATGAATTATAGGAACACCGTAAAAATATTTTTCTAAAAGAGTTTTTGATTGGTCATGCATTAAAATCAGGCTACCCTCAAATTCTAGATTTCAGTATGTGCTTTGTGAATCCTCTTTATTTTTTAAATATAATAAAAACTATTAATCCAAAAACAAAATTTTAAAAAGTTTTGAAAAAAATTCCAATTTAAAAAAAATTTATTTTAATTTTAATGTGCACAAACATTGTTACCTACACTCATGTGCACACGTTAAAATTAAATTTTCTGAAAAAGGATATAAATTTTTCTTAATTTTAATAAGTTTTTAATTGGTCTGCATTTATCTATATATACAACATATGTGCACATAAGATGCTAGAATGTTAATGATTTTAATTTTCAGAATTTCAATCTGATTTTAACTTCTTAGACAAATTAAAGAGTCTTTTAACGTTAGCCATCTGTGAATATTTGTTTAGTACTCAAACTAAAAGTGAATATTATAAAAATTTAAATTAACTTACACACATACATATATACACATTTTCATACAAGTTGTGCAAGACTCGATAACATCCTCGAATGAGGGAGACAGAATTGATGGAAAAATTATAGAAGAATTTTATTTTTTTCGTGTTGCTTCTCAAGTTTTTGAGGCTCAAAATAGCTCTTACTATAAAGAGTCATCCTTTTGCAATGGGACAATGAAGTATCCCTAAAATTAGAGCCAAAATGTTTTTAAATTTAAAATTATTGAACTTCAGATTTTTTATCGTGGAGGATGTGAAATATCTGCATTATTCTTTATCCCTCTGAATCGATTCTATAAGCCTAAACATGGAGTGTTATCAGCTCATACATCAGAAATTATCAGTATATAGGTATGTGTATTGTAGATATATGTGTATGGGTATTGGTTATCTTATAAAAAATTTTTAATATTATGAGATTTTCATAATATAATTTTAGATTCTTTCATCCTCTTCCTAGTACACATCATAGTTCATCAAAACAAAATTTTATATATGGAAGATATGGGCCGAATATTTTATTCAACATCCTTTATAGTTTTCAATGCAATTATGTATGTGTATATGTGTATGTGTATACATAATTTTCTCTTTGCTTATTTAGGTGCTCATCATAGTATGAGTACACTCATAGTCCATTCACTTAAATAACGGGATTATTTATTTTGTAGAGTCATTTCTTAAGTGCATTATCAACATACTTATATATGAATTATATATATGCACATTTCTGTATGTGCATGGATATGAAAGGGCAATATATTTAGTTGAAAGTGGTTTACTTGATGATTTTTCATGCAAATAATTTGCTTTTTATCTTTAAACCTGTTCTCAACTACAACATTCAATTTATTTTGTTGGATAACAGAATATTTTTGTTTTTATATAATGGGAAAATTATTTTTTTTTTTGTTAAAATAATATTTTTTATGGGGAGAATCTTCTGGTACACATACTGACTAACATTAATAATAAATTAAATTTACTTTAGAAAATACAGATGCATCTTGGCAATATAACTTTGTATAGCACATAAGTAAGCAAGTTAATAAAGGGACAATGATCTTTTCTAAGACTAAATTTTAAATATTTAAAATTCTTTCTCAACTGGTTTTTCTTAATTACAAATTGTTATGAATTCCTAAGGCACTCTTGAAATCCCGACTATTTTCAAAAAAAAAACTAAAAAAGAAATTAATTAGTGCAATAAGACTAAAACTATCAACTATAGATTGTGAATAACTCGGAAACTGACAAACGAAAGTAAACTACCAGAAGGACTGCGACAACATTTTGTATTATCTGTACATTGAGCTGTAACTTGGACAGACTTTTAACTTGACGAAGCAACTGATTACCTGTTTAATTTCTTTTTAAAAACAAAAATTTATTTTTATACTCCAATTTTAGTTACCAACAGTGTAGAATTCGATGCATCAAGAGAATTTCTTAGAATATTAGATGTTACTGAACCAGTTTGGATCGGTTTAATGAGATCACAGAATTCTGATCGTTTCTACTGGTCGTAAGTATTTTGAATGAATTAATGATTTCTATTTTCTTTACGAATTCTTCTCAAAAATGCATTTTCAACTTCATCTAAAAATTCCTTTTGTATTCTATTATTATAGAAATTCTAAACCATTGGTTTCAACAACTGAATATTGGGCTGAATCTTTACCAGTTATTGATGCACCATTATGTGCAGTTATAGATCCAGTAAGAGATTATCGTTGGCATGCATTAAGATGTGGAGGACCAGAAACAGCATCATTTCTTTGTGAAATGAATGGTAAATATTAAAAAATTTCATCTTTATTTTTTACTAAAAACGCTACAAATAATATTAGAGCTAAAAATTAATTTGAAAAATTAAAATCTTTTTCATTTCATATTATAGTACCTAGTTGGGCTGAAGAATGTGTTATAAGAGATATCCCATCACTAACAATTCAGTATATGGCTGATAGTGGAACAGTTGAAATAACAAAAGATTGTGGTGATGAAGAAGGTACAATAATTCAAGTTTGCCGTGGAAAACAGGTAAGATCTTTGGCACACACCTTCATATCACATTTAAATTTTTGATCATATCACTGTTGAATTGGGTCACATATTCTACATTAGTCGTATTAAAATTTTACAAAAGCAGAAATTTTAAGAGTAACTGTCAGAAATGTGATTGCAAGGATCATTTGTATTTGAAATTTTCATTCCTTTCAGGAAAATCTTCTATAACAAGTCAGATATAATATGAATTACGCGTGGTAGATTTTTCTAATATTCTCTACTTGAAAAATGTAAGAATATAAATGCTAATTCATCCACATATTCGTTCTATGGTTACACAAAATTTACTATGTTTCATAAAAAAAAAGTTAATACAGAAGAGAACGCGGTTGAGTCTGTCTATGTGGAAATAATACAAGCATACTAATAATGTCACTAAATTAAAAGTGAAAACAAAACCAACATTATCAACTTCATTATTTATTCAAATCATGAAATTTTCCTTTTCAAAAAATATGCTTGATGTTTCCATTCTCTTCCATATATATTTACAATCTGATTTGTTAAACTAATAGCTCTCTATTAATTTAACAAAGTCCCAAAATATACCAAGCAAACCCAAGTTTAATAATGACAAAAAACATACAATAGAAGCATAGATAATACAAATTTTACTTCATAACGGTACCATTATATTTTTCTATTTCTTTTATTTTCTTTCTTTCCATCTATTTTTTCAAAAAAATTATTCATAAAAAATTTTGTGGACATCTTATTTCACTGATAACATGAACAATTTCAAAATAACCTTATTATTGTGGTGGTAAAAAAAAAAACACAGGATCTAGATAAAATTATTAACAACCTGATTTGCAAAAATGAAAAAATTCAACAAGAAATCCAACAAATTTTCAGTCATGAACGACAAAACTTAGTTATTAACTCAGATCTATTAGACAGTCATAAGAAGTCAATTGAAATCATTAAAAATGCTCAAACTGATAACAATGAAGACAATAATATAAGTGTACAGAATAATAATGGTTTTCATCCGATGGAGAAAATTTCCGAACAAGAAACTGAAAATCCTGTTCAAAAATTAATTGAGCAATTTGATGTTGAAGAATTAATGCAAGCTGATCAGCCACAAGAACAAACACAAAAACAAGAAACTCAGCAAACTTCTACACCATCTGAGGAAATAATTCCATCAACAGGTGCCACGATTAATCAGAAAACACTTAAACGACAAAATAAAAAAGTAAGATCTGGTGATAAAAAATTAAATAAGAAATTACCAAATGGACAGAAGAAAGAGCAACGTGGTAAAAATATAGCTATTGAAGATATGATGATGGGTGATCAACCAATTTTAGGATTTGGAGATGATGATCTTAATGAGATTCAAGAACCTCTTCCACATACAAAAAAAATGTTACCACAAGATTTAAAACATGAAGATGATAATTTAGCTAAAGATAAGGACTTGAATAAAGCAATGAAGGAAAAAATTCCCGATAAAATAATGTTAACAACTACAACAATGCAGTCAAATATTGTTGCTGGTACGACACATTTAGTTGCGCATGAAAAAGAAATGGAATCAATTACTATTGATAATACAGATGATGAAACTGTAACAGGAACTACAACATTACCTGTAATAGCCACTGATGATATAGTTGATGATGTTAGTCGCTCAAACGGAATCATTTCAACAACAAATCCACTTGCAGGTGAAGAAAATTTAAATACTGCATCGGGAATATCATCTGACGGTACAATTAGTTCATTACCAAATGAAGCATCAATATCTATAACAACAAGTGAATCGGAGTCCCTACCATCCAGTACCTTAACAGCTTATACAAATTTACCTGATTCAACTACGACAACGGCTACAATATCGTCATCTCACGTAACAAGTAAGAGTTTTTTGTCAACGATCTTATTCCTATGATTTTCAATTTAATATTCTTACATTTTATCAAGAATTTTCTAAATAAATTTTTAAACAGTCTAATTTATTTATTTTATTAGTCACAACATTATCGCCAGGTGAAACTAAGTCAACACCAGCTGTTACAATTGGTCATCCAATGCACCCACAACAACCACGTAGCAATATAATATCAGAAGAAACTGCTCATCAACATATTAAAGAAACTAATGATAATCACTTTATACCCCCAATGCTTATGGTTAAATCTCACTATCAATCACCAAAATCGGCTTTGGGACACAACAACGAACATCAATTAGATTTGCAGATTGTCAGAAAGAAAACGACACCAACTGATTCAAATACAACTTCTTTGACTTCATCGAATGACGAAGTCAATCATTCAGGGTCCGAATCAAACAGTATTACCACGACTACAATTAAATCAATGACACCTATTGTAAATGATGTTAATCACCACACTACAACGTTAGCTAGTTCAAAAGTATTAGTATCTGACTCCAAACAAAATAAACCTGACGAAGTAAATTTCGACCAATCTACGGCAACACAGGTTGCTGGTGAAAAATTACCATTAACAACATTACCAGAATCAGAAGTTTTGGAACAAACAGTTTCGACGGTCACAAGTTTAACCTCAAAAGATATCTCAGAAGCGAAATCAGTAACAGATAAAGACATTTCTGAATCACAACAAATTACACCAACAGCTACTATTATACCAAATCAAGTTGTTGAAATAAAATTATCGAATGATGGAAGTACAGAAAATCCCAGAAGAATTTCGATTACAACAAAACCAATAACATTAATGTCATCAGAAATTGATATAGATTCGCAAAATAAACCATCCACTGATGAAATTCCAAAACTATTACCAACTGTAGATATGGCACCACTTACCGCAACTGAATACTCAAATAATAAAGAAAGTGGAATTCATTTTACTTCAGAATCTGAAAATTTACCGAATGCAGAATCTCTTAAATTGTCATCTTTCGTTCCATCTCTCGCTGAATCAAATATTCAAAAAGCCGAACTACCAACAACAGTTGATGAAACATTATTTGGAACACCAACACAAGATATTAATAAAAATTTAAATGAGCTTTCAACAACAGCCGCACTTATTAATTCCGTATCTGATAAAAGTATATCAGCATTGGGCGAAACTAATAATAATTCTACATCTTCTTCCGAAATGGGTGATTTAAATAGATCGAAACAAATTAATAATGAAAATCTTTATATAACATCAACTAGGGCTACAACAACAATTAAAACTTTATTACCCACAAAGAAAACTTCAATGTTAAAAAAACATAATTTGAAAAAGGCAACAGCATCATCGTCGTCGTCATCAGATACAACTGGAACAATATCGTCATCATCATCAATAGAAGAGGGTTCAGTAGGACATCATGATGTTTATACTTCAGATGAAGGAAGTTTTGAACAGCATAAACCAAATCGAAAACGTATTTTAACTAAACCAGAAACTCAAAGTTATTTGAAAAAGATTCTTGGTTAAAAATAAAATTTTTATTTTTGTTAGTTTTTTATAAATAAGATTTTAATTTTTATTTGAAAAATATTTATTGCATTCGCAATTCAACTGATTTTTGGAAACGATAAAGATGAAAAAAACATTTAATCTTAATAACAAATTCGAATTCGATTCAGCTGGCTTAGCAATACTTGAAATTCTTACAATTATTTCAATTTTAATTAATTTACTGCATACAGCCACAGAGGAATGCAGGAATTGAAAATTATTAATATTTTTACTCAATTTCTCACCGCAAGCTCAATGTAATGATTGTCAATGTAAACAATATTGCCAATTGTACTATAATTTTTATTCAACTTTATTACCAGAATCAAAAATCAAAAGATTTTTAATGAAGTAATTTGTAAAACAAACTCAGAAAATTCATAACATTTCTAGCATATTGCCAGAATGCATCAGATTTTTTTGGCATATTTCTGGTGTCGTTGTTGAGTACAGGTTACTTGTAATTGTTTTTATATTTTATAATGCAAAATAATTACCAAATTACTGATTTATTAAATTATTCTTTATTTAAAATTAAATTATTACCGAAATTATAATTGATTTGTAACTTATTCGAATTTAATTAACAATTTTAATGAAAAACATAAATTTATAAATTTAATCAAATTTTCTTCAAAAAATTTTCAATAACAATAGAACATTTTTTTGTATTGCTGCTTTCTAAAGTTCACGATCCAAAAATAGTTCATAAATATTATTATAATATACAGAGTAATAACAAAATAAAGCTATTAATGCAATTAATATTTAAAAATAAAAAAAAATCAAAAATAATTTTAATAATTTTGTTCTTTTTCTTTGAAATCATTGTTATTGCAAATAAAATGATTTCAACAACATTTTCTGTTAAAACAATAATTAATAACATTTATTATAACATTTTCACAATGTTATAAAATTTTACACTGTAATTTTTATAATAACTCTGTATTAATAAAAAAAAAATTAATGTAATGATTAAAAGTAAGAGAAAGAAATTAAAAAAAAAAAATACCATAAAATTAAAAATTTTAGTAAAAGACGTGTTAAAAATTTAATCGTGTATAAACGTACAAAAATGACAACTTCTGAAAATTAAAAAAAAAAATAATAATAATGAAAAATGTAAATGTCACAAGTTACAAAAAAAAAACAAAATATCACAAAAATCAAAGCTTCAGAAACACAAAATAATTAAGTAATTTATACAATATTATTAATGAAAATAAATTAATAAAAAATAGAGTTTAAAAAATAATATTAATAAATTTAAAATAAACATATAGAATAAAAAACAAAAAACACACTTTAATTAAATATTTGCAAAAAAAAAAATATAAACAACATTTAATTAAATTTAATTAAATAATAAAAAAATTATTCGATGCCAAAAAAATGAAAACAATTTTAAAATTAATTTAAAAATTAAAATAAAATTAAAATCAACAAAACAAAAAAAATGTATAATAAACACACACATTATTATTATAATTATTATTACAATTATTATGAAAGAAAATTATAAAAGCAGAAACGTAAATTTATATTTTAAGATTTAATATTAAAAAAAAAGAAAACAAAGTTTTAAATAATTAATGAAGAAAATCCAAAAAAAAAAATGAATAATTGTCAAAAAAACACATAACAATTTAATTATAGTAATAAAATTATATACATACATACATTATATAAAAAAAAATTACACATTCAAAGAAAACAAATTAAGAAAAATCTATAAAAATCCTGAAAATTTTCTAAAAATTTCTAGGAATTTCAAAATCAATAAAATATTTATTATATAATAGTCATTTTAACTTTGACAATTATAGTTTTCTGTGATTTATAAAACTTATTTTTAAATATATTTTATAATTTAATTTAATATTATATTCCAAAATAATTATAATTTATTTAATAATTTTAAATTAAAACACAAAAATCAACAACACTTTTCAAATATATTTTCTAATTCTCTACTCTATATAAAAAATATAAATAATTTAAAGTGTCGCAACAATATGGCAACACTATTGTAAGTTTGCATATTAAAACATTATTTTTATGTTTCATGTCAAAATAACACTCAATAAATGACTTAATAAATGAGAATTTAAGAGAAGATATTAAATGAACAAGAGAACGTTCAAATTCAAAATCAGACAGTAAGTGGTAAATAAAATCAATTTGTATAGCAATTACTATTGACAGAATTTTTTTACAACACTGAAAAAAATCTACATTTTTTAATATTTTCTCTGAGATTAGCAACATTCAAATTAAATATTCACAATGAAAATATCGAAAATTGTTCGAAATATTAATAAAAACGAGATAACAATGTATAAAAATAATTACAAATAATTTGAAAATTTAAACTTAAATGTTTAAAATGAAAAATATAATATGTAAAGTAGAGAATAAATATTGTCAATCAAAAAAATTTTACATAAGAATAACATATTATATAAATTGAGAACAATTGAAAAATTTTTAACAATAAAAATATTATTTGTAACAAATCAAAAAATCAAGGGTATTAACAATAATCTATATAAATATAAAATGATAATATTTGTATACATACCCTTATATATTTGACATTGCACATAACCATAAACATTTATTAAATTTAATTATAAAAGGAAAAAAATTAATAAATAAATAATTTAAAACAAGGAGAACTTTTAGTTATTTTTAAAAAGAAATGAAAAAAAAAAATTTTATTATTAAAAATAAATAGAAACCAAAAAAAAAAATTTTGTGCCGTTTTATTAAATTTTATGATTTTACTTTAAAATTTTTCCATTACAGAGGAATGAGCATGGAATGCCATTGCGAATAAGATCTTCCTTCTTACAACTGGAAATTTCTTATTAAACAACGATTCACAATACAGGGCGTTTTGCATAAGATTACAAATAACTTCAAAAAAGATTCTTTGATCAATTTCCAGCAAAAAATTGTATGAGTTTGGAGTGTGGGGGGGGGTGATATATTCTCGTATGAAATATGCATTTTTCCCATGTTTTTGAGCACATTTAACACTTTTTACTGGAAAAACTATGATAGATAGAGAAAAATGTAATATGGCTTAACTTTTAGTTCGTAGCGCTTTAAAAAAAATTATAATAACAAAAATTTTCGAGAAATTTCGAGTTTTGTGAAAAAAATTTCAGGACAAAAATTCTGACTTTGACAAACTGTATCTCGAAAATTATAGTTCACACCAAAACTGTAAGACCAAAAGTAAAAAACAATCAATCGCCTGTAAAACAAGCTCCGAATGATAACCTTATTTTGTATCGCATTCGAAGTTATGAGCATTAATGCATATGCAGAAAAAGCCCGTACCTTTTTTTCAACAGAATGTAGCTCAAAAATAAGTATACTTGCACCATCCCGCCCCTCCCCCCCCCCCCCCTCCTCCTGTAATAAATAACAAATTTAAAATAGATGTTGCTTCCTAGCCGCTTTTGTTTTTTACAACAAAAATTAAATTACTTGTGAACAATTAGAAATAAAATTAAATAAAATTTTATTTATTTTTATTTTCCAAATTTAAATAAAATGTTCCCATTTTTTTTTTATATAATTTTTTCAATACCAAATTTTGACCTCAAATAATAATTAATGCTCTCATTTAATTTGCATTTTTTTTCTCAGTTCGCGCCGCATTTCCGCAATTTACGACATACACTGACTATCATTTTGTGTAATTAATCATTTTATAAAATTTTATTGCAAATCAAATTAAGGCGATTCTCTCTCTATATACAACATGCATATAAAATGTTAAAAAAAAAATTGCATTACAAATATTTTTTATGAAGCTTTTAATTAATTTAGATCAAAGGATTTTTTTTTATAAAATAATTAAAAGTTTCCTGTTTTTCTCTTTATCATTGTTTTTTTTTTAAATAAAGGAGAAAATTATAAATAACTCTTCATTGTATTTCACATCATGTAGGTGAACTAAATTTTATTACATTTTTAGTTTTTTCTGTTTTAACATGTTTTACATAAAGTTTATTGCAGGGTGTGTTTAATTAGACATCTATTGTTTTTGATGCACTGGATATTTTCCTTTATGATGGCTCTAAGAAGTAGATTATTCCAAATATAATTCACTGAGGAGTTCAATTTAAGACCTAAATATGCATATGTAATATTTTATATTCTTTAGGCATAAAAAATACTTTTGCTTTATGGCAATAAAATTAAATTATTAAAGATTTTGTCTCAGTGAAAAAATACCTCCATATTAGGAATGACACATTTAATACAAATCACAAGTCCTACCGACCCAATCTTATTGGTTTGAAGTATAAGAACCTAAATGACCTTTACTTAGCTTAAATAAGAGCCTAATAAACCTTCTATTTTCATCTGATTTAAAATATAAAGGTGGAAAGAATCAAAAATACTTCGAATATCAAAAATATTCCGTACATATAAGAACTCATACTTCTAATTCAAATTACTTGTATGCAATTTTTAATTTTCGCCTATACTTAAATTATTAAAGAAAACCTTTAATAGCAACCTTTAATTTTATTAATTATAGCATTTGCAAAACAAAACCTTTTCCAAACAAATATTTTATGTATTTGCTTATGCAATTCAGATTGCTGTGCTTTATTTCTACTCAATCTTAATAAAATGCAATTCTATATGGTTTTTTAACAGACGTTAAAATAAATAAAATATTTGTAAAAGAAAAAAATCTAAAAAAAAAAAAACAAAACAAACATAATGCCATTAATAATAATTGTGAACAAAAAATTAAAAAAAAAATTTCCTAAAATTAAGCGCTTGACTAATTTCCATTCATAAAGAAAACACAAAAATAAAAAGTAAATGAAAATGAGTATGTTGTGTTTGCAATAAGTGAAACGTACACATGTAAAAATAAATAAAAAAATGGAGAAATGAGAAAAAAGAGAAAAAATTTAAGTCATTCAGTCTACTAGACATACGAAGAACTTTGTTTAAAAAAATCTTTGCTTGGATAAACTTCAAAAAAAAAACATTAAAAATATTTACAGAATTCATGCACCCTTTAATCAAATAAGAATGGAAAGAAAAAAATTGAAAAGAAATGTTTTACCTCATAAGGGATCAAAATTAGTTTTCACCTCAATTAGTATTTAAGGTTTATTCGTATGTGTTTAAAATACCATTGTGTTGAAAAGGTAACGTATCTAATGGTTTAAGTTTTAATCAGCAAATTTTTAAGGTAAGGATAAACAGATTATAGCGGCAGGTATCCAAAAACAGATAAGCAGCAAACGACACAATCTAAGGTAATCACTAATCTTATTCTGCCTATCATTGTGTCAGCCTCTTTTTTTA